TAATTAACAGAGATACATCAATTATTAAAAGCTTTTAGCATCGTGTCTAGATCTGAATCAAGATTGGAGTTTCGCAAAATTCGAACACTGTTATTACATATTATGATTCAGCAAAATTTCCCGACACGCCAAGTTTCGATTTCGACAATTCCGGTCCTTTTTTTGCTGTTTTTTAATAAATGTCTCCATCTGATATTAAAACAACCACCCCTGCTTTCCATAAATAGAGCGTCTTCAGCAACATTCGGGAACAATTTATTTTACACCATTAAAGATTTACAACAAAATGGAACAACAGTAACAAAACTACTAAAAGGAATAATAATATGATAACAATGTGTTAGTAACGAATAATTATAAGTTCTATGGCTATTTGCTCCCTTACCTTAATATGGGTATTTTGTTGTAAAAACATTAATGCCTGTATAAAAATATAATGAGGACTAATAACTAATTAGTTGTAGTTGTGGCTATCACTATAACATAATCATAATTTACATATTCCTGTAATGGATAAACCTTTTAGACATAAATAGGATTTTTGTCTCATTTTATTTTAAATCTTCAAGGGTGTAAAAACATTCCATAATAAATTTGTTTCGTACTAAAAATGTTGCACAATAAAACAGTTTCAAGTAAAATTGTTTCATACTTTTTTTTGTTTAATACTAAAGTGACCACATACTAAAATTTTCACATATTTGTTGTTTCACACTAAAATGATTACATACTAAAATGATTACATACTAAAAATGTTTCATACTAAGACTGCTTCAAGTCAATTTGTTTCCACTAAAATTGTTTCAAGCAAAATTGTTTCAAACTTTTTTGTTTCATGCTAAAATGATTATATGCCATGGTAAAAAACCGCCTCAAGTTAGTTTATTTCTACTAAAACTGTTACAAGCAAATTTGTTTCTACTAAACTGTTTTTCGGGCATAATCGTTTCATACTAAAAAATTTGCATATTTGAAAACATTACATACTCAATTTGTCGCATACTTAAAATGCTGGAGGCCATAAACGTTTTACATTAAATATGTTTTATATTACAAATGCCACAAACTAAATGTGTTCTACCGTTCATTGCGTTACATGCTAAAAACGTTTTGTAGTTGGATTATCCCATACTGAAGTTGTTACAAGTAATTGTGTTTCATACTAAAACCGTTCATACCAAAATTATTGCAAACTAAAAATGCCAAACTTAATTTGTTTCATACTAAAATTGTCACAAACTAAAAATGTTGCAGGCTTAAAATGTTGCAAGCCAAAAATATTTCTACTGATTATGTTACATACTAATTATGTTACATACTAATTATGTTCCAAACCAAAATTGTTTCTACTAATTATGCTATATACTTATTATGTTCACTTAAAAAGTTTCTGCTAACTATGCTATATACTAATCATGTTCATACTAAAAATGTTTTTATTAATTATGTTGCAAACTAAAAATGTTGCAAGCCAATAATATTTCTACTGATTATGTTACATACTAATTATGTTACATACTAATTATGTTCCAAACCAAAATTGTTTCTACTAATTATGCTATATACTTATTATGTTCACTTAAAAAGTTTCTGCTAACTATGCTATATACTAATCATGTTCATACTAAAAATGTTTTTATTAATTATGTTGCAAACTAAAAATGTTGCAAGCCAATAATATTTCTACTGATTATGTTTCATACTAATTATGTCTCAAACTAAAAACGTTTCTACTGATTATGTTACATACAACAAATGACAAACATACACAAAAATGCCACAAACTTAATTTGTTTCATACTAAAACCGTTTCACACTAAAATTGTCACACAATATATTTGTTTCAACTAAAACCGTTCCACACCGAAATTGTTATATACTAAATGTTACGTACTTAAAATACCGCATACTAAAAATATTACAACATGTCATAAATACAGCATGCTTAAAATGTTCCACACTAAAAATGTTTAATACTAAAAATGTTTCGGGTGAATTCATTTCATACTAAAAATGTTTCAAGTGAATTTATTACATACTAAAAATGTTTCAAGTAAAATCGTTTCATACTAAAATTGTTTTAGATGAATTCGTTTCATAATAAATCTACTCATATAATCCACTTCGACAATTGTATATTACGTCAACTTTTGCAAACCATGTCTAATATTTTTATTCTATGTCTACTTATATGATCTACTTTGACAACTGTGTGTCACATTTACTTTTGTAAATCATGTCTAATATTTTCATTTTCACATCTAATATATTCATTTAATGTCTGCTCCATTACCTACTTCAACTTTTGCAAATCGTGTCTATTTTTTTATTTTACGTCTTACTCATGTAATCCACTTTAACGATTGTAAATCACTTTAATGATTGTAAATCACGCCTATTTTTGTAAATCACATCCAATATATTTATTTTACATCTACTCGCATAACCCGCTTCGACATTTGCAAATCATGTCCAATATTTTCACTTTACATCTACTCATATAACTTACTACAATGATTGTAAATTATGTCTAATTTTTTCGTTTTACGTCTACTCATATAACTTACTACAATGATTGTAAATTATGTCTAATTTTTTCGTTTTACGTCTACTCATATAACTTACTACAATGATTGTAAATTATGTCTAATTTTTTCGTTTTACGTCTACCCATGTAATTTACTGCAATGTTTGTAAATTATGTCTAATGTTTTCGTTTACATCTGCTCATATAATTTACTTCAATAATTGTAAATCATTCCCAATATTTTCATTTTACATCTACTCATATAACCAACTTCAATGATTGTAAACCATGCCTAATATTTTCATTTTACATCTACTCATATAACTTACTACAATGATTGTAAATTATGTCTAATATTTTCATTTTACGTCTGCTCATATAATTTACTTCAATGATTGTAAACCAAGCCCAATATTCTACATCTACTCATATAATTTACTACAATGATTGTAAATCATTCCCAATATTTTCATTTTACATCCACTCATATAATTTACCACAATAATTGCAAATCATTCCCAATATTTTCATTTTACATCCACTCATATAATTTACCACAATAATTGCAAATCATTCCCAATATTTTCATTTTACATCTACTCGTATAACTTACTACAATGATTGTAAATTATGTCTAATATTTTCATTTTACGTCTACCCATGTAATTTACTTTAATGATTGTAAATCATTCCCAATATTTTCATTTTACATCTACTCGTATAACTTACTACAATGATTGTAAATTATGTCTAATATTTTCATTTTACGTCTACCCATGTAATTTACTTTAATGATTGTAAATCATTCCCAATATTTTCATTTTACATCTACTCATATAACCAACTTCAATGATTGTAAACCATGCCTAATATTTTCATTTTACATCTACTCATATAATTTACTACAATGATTGTAAATCATTCCCAATATTTTCATTTTACATCCACTCATATAATTTACCACAATAATTGCAAATCATTCCCAATATTTTCATTTTACATCCACTCATATAATTTACCACAATAATTGCAAATCATTCCCAATATTTTCATTTTACATCTACTCGTATAACTTACTACAATGATTGTAAATTATGTCTAATATTTTCATTTTACGTCTACCCATGTAATTTACTTTAATGATTGTAAATCATTCCCAATATTTTCATTTTACATCTACTCGTATAACTTACTACAATGATTGTAAATTATGTCTAATATTTTCATTTTACGTCTACCCATGTAATTTACTTTAATGATTGTAAATCATTCCCAATATTTTCATTTTACATCTACTCATATAACCAACTTCAATGATTGTAAACCATGCCTAATATTTTCATTTTACATCTACTCATATAACTTACTACAATGATTGTAAACCATGCCTAATATTTTCATTTTACATCTACTCATATAACTTACTTCAATAATTGCAAATCATTCCCAATATTTTCATTTTACATCTACTCATATAACTTACTTCAATAATTGCAAATCATTCCCAATATTTTCATTTTACATCTACTCATATAACTTACTTCAATAATTGCAAATCATTCCCAATATTTTCATTTTACATCTACTCATATAACTTACTTCAATAATTGCAAATCATTCCCAATATTTTCATTTTACATCTACTCATATAACTTACTTCAATAATTGCAAATCATTCCCAATATTTTCATTTTACATCTACTCATATAACTTACTTCAATAATTGCAAATCATTCCCAATATTTTCATTTTACATCTACTCATATAACTTACTACAATGATTGTAAATTATGTCTAATATTTTCATTTTACATCTACTCATATAATTTACCACAATGTTTGTAAATTATGTCTAATGTTTTCGTTTTACATCTGCTCATATAATTTACTTCAATGATTGTAAACCAAGCCCAATATTCTACATCTACTCATATAATTTACTTTGATGATTGTAAATCATTCCCAATATTTTACATTTACTCATGTAACTGACTACAATGTTTGTAAATTATGTCTAATATTTTCATTTTACATCTACTCATATAACTTACTTCAATAATTGCAAATCATTCCCAATATTTTCATTTTACATCTACTCATATAATTTACCACAATGTTTGTAAATTATGTCCAATATTTTCATTTTACATCTACTTATATAACTTACTTCAATAATTGCAAATCATTCCCAATATTTTCATTTTACACCAACTTATGTAATCTACTTCAATAATTGTAGATGTTATTTTATTGATTAGTATTAATCGAAATAATTTGTTAAAAAAAAGCATGCATAATAAACAAATATCATAAACAGCATATACAATAAATAAAAAAAGTATCGACATATACAGTTAAATTAAATGACGATAAAATGGTAATAAAATAGATATAAACCAATCAAAAATGTTGACAATTCTTTAATCATTCCTCTCTCATAATATAATACGCGATTTACCAATAAAACACATGTTTATCTTTTTTGAAATTTATTAATTGTATCATTTATTATGACTCCTTTTTTAATCTCAGTAGCATTATTAAGAACTGAATTTTCTTCAAATTTACCGTCAATAACATCGTACACATAAGGCAATAATTTCTTACTTATTGTTTGTGTTATCGTGTTATAATAAACACTTGGTGAATGATCTACACCGTAAAAATCGACATTGTCTGTGATTTTTAATATTGGTTCGGTAAAAGTTGTCGGAACCGCAAAATCAAAACCCATTCCTGTGTCACAACTTATGTCAATGATGAACATTTTTTTGTTAAAATCGTCGAGATCTTTCTTTGTAATAAATGTAATTATGTTAAGAGGATCCTGAAGAACACAATTGACTATAATATCATAATCTTTTAACACATTTTTCCATTTGCCATTTTCCGGATAAGCCAAATAATTTACACCCGGTTTTTTGTCATTAACAAAGTTTGGGGATCTTTTTGTATAAACATCGATGTGCCTAAAACCAAGAGCTTTAAATGCATCAACGGCTCCCCTTCCTACCCAACCATGACTTATTATCGCGATTCTTATCTGGTCTTCAGGCAAATACAAATACCCAGTTAAGCCTTTCAGTTGCAGTGCATGCATAACACTTGAATATCCGGCGATAAGTCGATTATCTTCCAAAATATATCTTCCATTTTCATACATTTGTTCAATAGATATTGCGGTTAGCCCTTTTTTAATAATCGTGTCAACATTTTTTTTATTTTGAACCAAATGGTGCCACCCCCAACATATCTTGTCATTGCCAATTATGTTGTAATCAGCTTCCGTAAATTTGAGTGTAATCAATACGTCACATGATTTGTAAATCTCCTCTTTTGTAAGAATTGCCCCAACAAATGGTTTTAATTGGTCATCGGTATATCCGAAATTTTTTCCATAAGACTTATCAATAAATATATTTGATCCGTACTTTTTTGGGATTTTGCTGAAATCAGCCGGATGTATCGGAAGTCTTTTTTCATTTTCTTTAAAACTATTCCCAATAATTCCAAGTTTGTATGTTGGGTGGTATGTCCCTTTTTTAACAAAATTATTGTTTAGTTCGAACATCATTTTATTATAATTGACAATAGTTGGACATTCCATATTTGGGGAAATCTGATTTATAAAAGGCATACATTTTATATCTTTGTAAAGTCTATTAACAATACTCTGAAATAATGTTAATATGTTATGACCGCAAATATCCTCGTTGGTCAAATCAAAAAGTTTTGCTAACTCGAGTAAATAATCTTTGTTAATAGTCGCACTAAAACCATCATTGACACATTTACAAATCTGATCGTCATAACACTCGGAACCAGATACTGGTGGAAACTTTTTTAACATTGATTTCTGACATACTAATAGTAATGTATTAATTACGCTTGCCAGATATTCTTCGGGAAAGTAGTCAAAAAATCTTAACTCAATTCCATGATTATAATGCTTATGATAATTAACATCTAAACCTATCATTTTTTGCGCATTATAAGCGGATTTTTTATGGTATTTCTTATACCAACGACCTATATTTTCAGAACCATTATCATTATCATATTCAAAAGTGTCAAGAAGTTTGCCCTCAGGCATTGTGTTCGTGTCATAAGTTCCAACACTAATATATCTACTAATTGCAAGTCTTTGCGATCCTTTAGAAAATTTGTCATTTAAAACTGATAAAATATCAGGAGACCCGTAACATCCAACAAGTAGGGGTTCAATCCATTGCAATGCATTTATTGCGTTAGAATGAACGTTTTTGAAAGATTTAATGTTTTGAATTTTACCTTTAGAATCAAGTTTTGTTGGCAATGTTATATTGATATGATAAGTTCCATTATTACATATTGCTATATTTCTTGGATTTGTAGTGAAATTAACAAAACCGTAGTTGACGGCATATTTTATTTCATTATCATAATGCCCTTTTAATACGGATTGTTCGGTAAAAACTCTGTTAATTTCTTGCAAAAATCTTTGTTTAAAATCGTTCAATTGTTTAATACAATTGTTTACAGTTGTGTTGTAAAAGTCAATGGTCGTAAATTCAAATGTATCACCATCATATACAAACTCTATGTCGTTATTGTCCCTATAATACTTACTGTTTGTCATCATAATGTCATGAATAGTTTTTCCCTCAAATTTCATATTTGGTTCTGTCAACTTGGTGTACATGGTTTTGTGCTCATTATTTCTGTCGCATTTTGTAAAAGCATGTGAATTAATAAAAACAGGTATATCATACATCTTTTTTTTGTCAATTAGTTTTAATGCAACACTAACATCATCGCTCTTAAAATTAGTCCAATAGTCAACACTATAGCGTTCTCTCTTGCGATTGTTTATAATCCACTCACCTGACCGTACAATCGGTTTATCAGAAAGAAGATATGTTTCATTTTCAATACCAATCCCGTAATAAATATCATTAGGTCTGTACATTTTTTTGTACTTAATATGTTTTGAGTCTTCATTAGCCTGGGATATATTTTTTATTTCTTTCCAAACATTATTTGTAGATAAGCCATTTATAGAACTTGTAATAGAATCATTAACAGACATCGGTGTATCATTAACAGACATTGAAGTAGAAATGTCGGAAGATTTTGAAGTAGAATCATTTACAGAATTTATTGAAGAACTATCAACAATATTATGTGTTGAATCATTTACAGATGTTGAAGAAAAACTATTCACAATATTATGTGTAGAATCATTTACAGATATTGAAGTAGAATTGCCGAAAGATTTTGAAGTAGAATCATTTACAGATGTTGAAGAAGAACTATTTACAGATGTTGAAGAAGAACTATTTACAGATGTTGAAGAAGAACTATTTACAATATTTTGTGTAGAATCATTTACAGAATTTATTGAAAAACTATTTACAATATTTTGTGTAGAATCGTTTACAATAATTTGTGTAAAATCATTAACAGAATTTATCGAAGGACTATTTACAGCAATATGTGTCGAATTATTTACAGAATCTGTTGAAGAACCATTTACAATAATTTGTGTAGAATCACTAACAGAATCTGTTGAAGAACCATTTACAGCAATATGTGTCGAATTATTTACAGAATCTGTTGAAGAACCATTTACAGCAATATGTGTCGAATTATTTACAGAATCTGTTGAAGAACCATTTACAATAATTTGTGTAGAATCACTAACAGAATCTGTTGAAGAACCATTTACAGCAATATGTGTAGAATCATTAACGAAATCTGTTGAAGAACTATTTACAGCAATATGTGTAGAATCATTAACGAAATCTGTTGAAGAACTATTTACAGCAATATGTGTAGAATCATTAACGAAATCTGTTGAAGAACTATTTACAGCAAAATGTGTCGAATCACTAACAGAATCTGTTGATGTACTATTTACAGCAAAATGTGTCGAATCACTAACAGAATCTGTTGAAGAACTATTTACAACAATTTGTGTAGAATCATTGACAAAATCTGTTGAAGAACTATTCACAACAATTTGTGTAGAATCATTGACAAAATCTGTTGAAGAACTATTCACAACAATTTGTGTAGAATCATTGACAAAATCTGTTGAAGAACTATTCACAATATTATGTGTTGAATCATTTACAGATATTGAAGAAGAACTATTTACAATATTATGTGTAGAATCATTTACAGATGTTGAAGAAAAACTATTTACAATATTATGTGTTGAATCATTTACAGATATTGAAGAAGAACTATTTACAAAATTTGAGGAAGAACTATTTGCAATATTTTGCGTAGAATCATTTGCAATAATTTGTGTGGAATCGTTAACGGAATCTGTTGAAAAACCAATTACAATAATTTGTGTAAAATCATTGACAAAATCTGTTGAAGAACTATTTACAGCAATATGTGTCGAATTATTTACAGAATCTGTTGGAGAACTATTAATAACAATTTGTGTAGAATTATTTACAGAATCTGTTGGAGAACTATTTACAACAATTTGTGTAGAATCATTAACGGAATTTGTTGAAGAATTATTTACAGAATCTGTTGGAGAACTATTTACAACAATTTGTGTAGAATCATTAACGGAATTTGTTGAAGAATTATTTACAGAATCTGTTGGAGAACTATTTACAACAATTTGTGTAGAATCGTTAACGGAATTTGTTGAAGAATTATTTACAGAATCTGTTGGAGAACTATTTACAACAATTTGTGTAGAATCGTTAACGGAATTTGTTGAAGAATTATTTACAGAATCTGTTGGAGAACTATTTACAACAATTTGTGTAGAATTATTTACAGAATTTGTTGGAGAACTATTAACAACAATTTGTGTAGATTTATTTACAGAATCTGTTGAAGAACTATTTACAACAATTTGTGTAGATTTATTTACAGAATCTGTTGAAGAACTATTTACAACAATTTGTGTAGAATCATTAACGGAATTTGTTGAAGAACTATTTACAACAATTTGTGTAGAATCATTAACGGAATTTGTTGAAGAATTATTTACAGAATCTGTTGGAGAACTATTAACAACAATTTGTGTAGAATTATTTACAGAATCTGTTGAAGAACTATTAACAACAATTTGTGTAGAATTATTTACAGAATCTGTTGGAGAACTATTAACAACAATTTGTGTAGATTTATTTACAGAATCTGTTGAAGAACTATTTACAACAATTTGTGTAGAATCATTAACGGAATTTGTTGAAGAACTATTTGCAAAATTTGAGGAAGAACTATTAACAACAATTTGTGTAGAATTATTTACGGATTTTGAGGAAGGACTATTTGCGATGTTTTGCGTAGATTCATTTAGAGATATTGGGGAAGAACTATTTGCAATATTTTGTGTTGAATCGTTTACGGAATTAGGAGAATCAATTACAAATATTGGTGCCGAATCTTTATAAGAGTTGTTGTAAGAATAAGAACTTGAAGTATAATTATTATTGGCTATTGATTCACTATCACTATTTGGGTTATCATAAATATTAGCGGGTTTAAATGTAGATTCGTTGTTAGAGGTTGGGGTAAAATTATTGACGTTATTTAGTAAACAATAGTTATTGGAGTTTAAAGTAAAATCACTGACAAAATTAAGCGCAGAATAAATGTTTTTGTCAATGATGTTAATGGATTTTGGGGCAAACTTGTTGGCAGGCGTTGAGATGGAAGAACCGTAAGGGTTGTTATTAGAGTAATCAACAGTATTTAGTATAGAATTGAAAGACAATGATGTGGCATTATGCTTACGCTTATTAGTTATATTTTGCGTGTTTTTTTTATTAAAACTATTGGATATAATGGTTTTTTTGTAATCATTGTTAAAGTTTGTGGGATAAGCATAACAGTCTATAATTTTAAATATTTCGGGTTTGTCGATGTTTAGAACAACCGTCGTATCGGAAACCACCTTTTCTGTTATCTTCACTATTGACACACCCGATTTAAAAAGTAGCACATACGAGTCATGATATTCCGACTTAATTATGCTGTCTTTAATAACAGTAATTTTTATTTTGTCAAATGAATACGGTTCGTTTTTTTCGACAAAGGAATGCGAATTTTGAATTAGTTGTTCTGATTCCGATTTGAAATATAGATCCGAATTTGTTTTATGTATTGACATACATTTAAGAAAAGGATTCATGTATTCAAGAAAAGTTGTTTTGTAGTTGTGAATCGTTTTTTCCAGTTTTTTAATTTTGGTTTTTTTTATTCTCGGTATTTTGCAAATTTTGATTGGCATAGCGTTACTTTCTATCTAATATCCTTTATTACAATAATTATGTGCAAGGGTGGGATCAATATTTTTATTTAGTAAAAAGCATAATATTAACCCCAAAACATGTATTTAATCAAAAACATAAAATAACTCATAAAACATAAAAAACCACATATAACAGAAATCAATAATATTTCGGACAATTTAATATATCGCTTTTTTCAATAAAACAACGATTATAATATTAATTAACCATATTTTGCGATTATTTATACATATTATCATCTTCGACAAAATCAACAATATTTGGTATGTACAAATTTGGCAGTTCAAATTTCGATGAAGATAAATTGCCCATGTTAAATATTTCGGAATTACTGCTGATTGGGAGATATTTTTTATCAAACAAATTTATTGTGTTTTGATCTAATTTGTTATTATTTGTATTTATTAAATTTTTTTGTGTAATATAACTCTTAATATCATACTCGTCTAGCGGTCTATATATGTAGGTCAATAAGCCATAAAACACAACTATTGTCAAAACAATTAGTACCCAAAGTTGGAACCACTCATATTTAGACCTTGGGAATAACAATGAGATAGGTCTCTTAACATTAACATAACTACCAATATTAACACGTATGCCATTATCGCATTTTTCACACTGTTTATACGGCATTGTATCCCCTTTTATGTTATGTTAATGGATTTTATAATATAATATAATATAATGGCAAATATTGTGTTTATTTAATTAACATAGTCTTCCGTTCGTGTTTTTGCAAATCGCGTCCGTTTTTTTTGTAGTTAATATTTTATATCGCAAATGCAAATGCAATTCATGTGTTATTTTGTAATCCGTGTCTCATTTTTACAAAATTATTCCTATTTTTGTATTTAACGTTCCGTATTTCGCTCTTAGTATTGTAATTTACACCAACTGTTTTAATTGACACATGTTTCACAAAACAATTTACTCTAATAAAATGGAAGTTTAACAAAAATATAGATAGCTGTTAAAAACATTTATTATGTCGACCAATAAATTTACCGATATCCCATCCCAAAAAAATGTGGCAACATTCCATTATGGCAATATTATCTTCTTGTAAGTATATAAACACGAATCAATAAAATTCGAACATAGTCATCATGGATTCGTACTGTGACATAAATAACGCATATACCGATAAAGGCATGTCAATCTCGACAAACACCAATATTGATATGTTAGAAAAAATGGCCCGACAAGTTAACTCCAATAAAAAATCACTAACAAAAGATATTTATGGTCGATACAGAAAAAACACAAATAATAAAAATAATTTTAACAATTCCAATAAATTTGATAATTTTAACAAATCCAATAATTTTGATGATTTTAACAATTCCAATAATTTTAATAATTTTAACAACTCCAATAATTTTAATGATTTGGCACAAGACTCAAAAGTGTTTAGCGAGTTTTTGAATAATAACATCGACAAGTCTATCCAACCATTTTATCCAAGACCTAGTTCACAGTTTCAGCCAGATTCAACCGTCAACACCACTAGCACATCTTTCGTGATGCCCGATGGGTATGGGTATACCGGAGGAATTTATTCTGCACAAGGTGAATATTTGGAAAATACACATTATCCCGGTTTGACATCATTGACATCAAGAAATCTTGATAAAAACACGACAAAACCAAAAAAGAAATATGACGATATATCTCTTGACACCCCCTCGCATAAAGACTCGTCGGATTCACCGGACTCATTATCCGATTCATCAGACTCATCATTCTCATCGTTCTCATCGATCACATGGAATACAAATAATATAGATGAACAGATTAAAACAAAAGCAAAATATGACTCTAATAAAAAAAGTAAAAGACACAAATGTATTGATTTCGACATAGGCAGCGTCGATTCTTTAGAAAGTCTCGACAGTGGTGAAAGTTTACTACATCATATACGAATTTGCAAGGAATGCAAAAACAAAGTAATAGACTTAATAAAAAAAAACATGTCATCAAAAAAATTACCTAATAAATCCAATAAATCCAATAAATCCAACCACCTAATTACAAACTCTTCTATTAAAATTAAAAAGCCGTGCGAAGTTAATAGTAATTTACCGGAATATGACGACGGTTATTCCAACTTTAATTCTAATTCTAATCAAACATTCACACAAAAATCAAGTATGTCGGAGTTTAAAGAAATAATAACAGTATGTTTAATCGGATTTTTAATAATAGTTATATTAGATTTAACTATGCACACCAAATAAAACACGGACTTTTTTTATTTTATTATTCAGATCTGTTTATTTTATTAAGCCTATCTTCGTGTTTTAATTCAAGATACTTCCACGTAATAAATATTTCGGTGTCTGTTAAGATCGCGGTATCAAAGTCATCCTCACGAAGCTTTTCCGATATGTATTCCAAACACTCTTTAGAATCATAGTCTCTACATTCCGGCACATTTTCAACTACTTTTAAAATAACATCAGTATCTTGATTGTCGTCTGCATCAGCAATTCTTTTATGACAATATTTCAACATGTTCATATAACATAATAATTTTTCAGCGCGTCTTTTTTTAATACGATCTAAAAGCACACTAGATGTAAAAGTAATATCGGGTTCGGGATTCAACGGTGTGTTATGAAAAAGTGTATCAACGTCTATCCTTTTTCCTTTAGTTCCTGATTTTTTATCTGAAGGAAATAGATTGTCAATGCAAATCCCCCTATTCACACTTTCCTGTTTTTTATTAGAATGTTGTTTTGGTCTTTTTTTGGAGTTTGTTTCTAATGTAGTCATCCTATTGTCAATTATATGTTGACACCCTAAAATGCCGCATCGTATTTTAACACAATAAAAATTAAACATTGGCAATATTTCGCTTTATATATCCTTATTATTCTCAAATACAACATCATATAGGTTTGCAAATAAACTAATTATGAATAAAGAGACCAAACAATATTTAGACACATCACCTATTGGCTTACATGATTCGCGCACAATAAACGATATTAATATTAACATTGATGACGAATATTTTGCTATTAATAATCTTTTAGACAGCGAAGTGTCACAAATACTCGACCGAAACATTAAGAGAGATCGAGACATATTAGTTTTAAGCGGGGGATCAACAAAAGGAATAGCCCAAATTGGGGCCCTACACTGTCTCAAAAAAAATAATATGCTCAACAACATTAAAACTATTGCAGCAACGTCTGCCGGATCAATAATTGGTTTTCTTTATTGTGCAGGATACCAACCATTAGAGTTATATAAATTTATTAGACTTATTGATTTAAAAATGATTAAAAAACTAGATGCGCAAAACGTAATAACAAAATACGGTCTTGATGATGGATCAAGAATGATGTTTGTCTTAAAGAAATTAATCGAAGCAAAGGGTTTTAGCGATAATATTACATTTAGTGAATTCTATAAAAAGGTGGGAATAACATTTGTTGTAACGGGATCGTGTATCAATGATAAACGTGTTTATTACTTTTCCCATAACACTTACCCCGAAATGAAAGTAATGGATGCAATTAGAATAAGTATTTCAATACCAATTATTTTTACCCCGTGTATTCACGAGGGAAAGATATTTATTGATGGTGGATGCATTGATAATTTTCCTATTCAGTTATTTGATGATAAACTTGACAGAGTTATTGGAATATATGTGTCGGAAAATAGAAAAATTGTGAATGACATAAAATATATTGAGGATTATTTATTAAATATCATACAATGTTTATTTGAAGGAATTACCCACAGAGATACCAAAATGCACAAATGCGTTATTGTTATTAGATGCGATAAACCCGGTGATAAACAAACCGATGTTGTCAATATGTTTGATGAAGGATATATTTCTGCGCAAAAAAAACTAGATACAGGCGATCTAGGTAATTAATTTGTCGTAATTAATGACACCTATGATTTTATTCCATTTAATTTAATTAGAGCATCTAACTGTCCGGTTAACTTCTGCATATCAACCGAAGTTTTTTTCTGCAACTCCTCTTCAATTTTTGCTTTACATTCCGTATCTTTATTAAGAGTTAGATCCAATAAAAGTTTTTCAAGAATGGATTTATGTTCTTTTTTTATTTCGTCAATCTTTGACGCATTTTCTGTCTTGAGTTCATTAATGGTTTTTGTATATATGTCGATTTGTGCTTCTAATTGCACGATTTTTTCCTTAAGAGACGTAATATCCCCGATATTATTATTATTATTATTATTATTATTATTATTATTATTATTATTATTATTATTAATACCATCATTGTTACTAATGTTGATAATGTTATTTGATTCTGGTAAACTTTCTTGGCCAGAATTACAAAGTCTTAGTTGTGCAGTAAGGAGTTTTATGTTTTTTGCGAGTTTTATAATTTCAATATCCTTGTGTTCTATCTGATCTTCAAGATACTTGATGTTTTTAAGTACGTCGTTTTTTGTTGTTGGATTTACCGTAATGTCATTATTTGCTGTTTCGCTTTTTTGATGAATATCTTTTTTTGATTTTACCGCATAATATAGTCCGGCCAACGCCGACCCTATTTTTGCTCCTGTATCGGTCATTTTTACCGCTGATGCCGCAATTTTATCGGCGGAATTTGCAATATTATCAGCAGTATCAACAGCAGATGACATCCGTTCATTAAAAGTTTTTTTTCTTTGTGTTTGTGTTTGTTGTAAACCACCCATTTGATTTTGATTTTCGGTCTGTTTACACATTTTTTGCGCTATTAGGATTACGGAGTTTTCGCCAATCATGTCGTACGCCGATTTGACTTTTAAAAATATTTTAGTTGAAAGTCTTGTTTTATTGGCAATTTCATTAAAATTGCCGCGTTTTATTAATTTTACCATTTCAATGATATCGTTG